TACAGCAGGGACCCCCGCTGGCACTCTGAGTCAGGGTGCTCGGGGATTGGATGGGGGGGGGCACGTCGCCGATGGGTTCCCCCCAAGCTCACAGCTCCTCACGGTTTCGTTTCTGGAAGAGGGAAAGCGAAACTTGGCTTGGCTTGTTTCCTGCTGTGTGTCACCAGCCCAGCGCTTCAGGCAGTGACAGGAGGTGACATCGGGGCGTGGGCACGGTGACAGGCAGGGCACCCCCAGCCCTGGGCAGGACCTGGCGCAGGGTTTCCATGCTGGGAAGCTGCCTGTGGCCACCTGGGCACCCAGGGCAGGAGCCCGCCAGGGAGCCGGGGCCAGGAGCCAGGGGTGGCAAAGCCACAGGGCTGGGGCTACCTAAACTTCCCGGTGGTGATACCACCAGGGTGGTGGCCCGGGAAGGTTTACAAGTTGCCGCAGGCAGGAGCAGGCAGAGGATGGAGCTGTTTTTTTCCTGAGGTCCAGCTGGCATCGTGCTGGCACCCCTGACCCCACTGGGCACCTCAACGCCCATGTCTCCCTGTGTTGTCCCAGCAGCTGGTGGCATTGATGTCCCCCCCCTCATCTCAATAGGGTCCCCCCTTACCATTACTTCCCTCACCCCGTGCCACTTGGCACCGTCCCCAACCAACGAGCAGCACAAGGATCTACCAAAGCATTTATTTCCAGCACAAGCTGCGGGGAGGAAGGTGGGGGGAAGAGGGGAGGGTGGTTCAGGAACACCTACTATTGCTGGGGGTGATGATCAGGAGGGCGAGCAGGCAGGGAACTGGGGGTGCAGGGGCTTGCACCCCCCCCGGAGCGGCAGGGTCATGAAGATGGTGCTCATGGGCTGGATGCCATAGTGTGCCAGCGTGTGCCGGTCGTCCAGCATCACGGAGCTATACATCAGGCGCTGCTGGTCAGGGTGAGGCCCGTTGGCCCTTTGGATCTGCTCCTTCAGCTGCCGGACGGTGTTGGTGGGAGACACCGTGTAGGTGGTGGTCCGGTTCTTTTCATCCTTCACGAAGACCTCCATAGTGTCGGTCTGCAGCAGCAGCAGCGTGGTGCTGTACAAGATGCCGTGGGTGGCCAGGGTCTCGCCATCCTGCAGGATGACATTGCGCCTTCCTGGATCCTGCTGCGACAGGCGCTGCCTGTACCAGGGGATGTCCCACTCCTGCTCGATCATCTCCTTCAGCTGCCTGACGGTGTTGCTTGGGCTGACGATCTTTCTCAGTCTGGTGCCCGCCAGCTGCTTCACCTCAATCGTCACAGGTGTGGCCGGCTATGGGGACAAGAGAAGGGGTGGGCAAAGCAGGCAGGGGTTGAAGGGGGTTCCACAATGTCCACAGGCACTGGCAGCCTTACCTGCACATTCCAGGCCTTGATGGACATGACGCAGGACAGCGAAAGGTCTCTGGCAGCTTCCCGTGCCAGCAGGTCCCATCTATCACCTTGGCCCAGGATCCCTGTGGGGTCGGCGGGGTCCAGGATGATGGGGCTGCGAACACAGAGGGCAGGTGTTTGCCATCAGCCCCAGGCAGTGCCGCAGGGCGGGTGGCATGGGTCCCACAAGGTATGGTCCTCACCGGGGTTTGCACAGCAGGCTCTTCACGTGGGCGCTGATCTCGCTGTGCTGGAGCGAGTAGCACCCCTCCCAGTAGATGCAGATCTCCTGGTGTCGGCACAGCAGCTCCATCACCGTACGGAAGCCCTGAGCCGTGTCGAAGGATTCGTTGGAGCCTGTGCCCTGCTCCCAGGCGTAGATGGTCAGCAGCTCCAGAGCATACTTGGGAGGCAGGTTGCTGGTGCCGCACCGTGGCTTCACCCGCTGGGAAGAAGATGGGGACAGGGGTGAGAGCTGGCTGGGGTGGGTGCCCGGTGGGAGCCAGGGAAACCAGGCAGCCACTCACCTCCTTGTACCAGTACTTGACCAGGCGCAGGAGGCTCTTCAGCTTGGGAGGGTAACGCTTCACAAACTTCTTCTGCAGCTCAGTGAAGCAAGGGGAGAACTCCCCGGGGCCACCATTGGCTTTCAGAAGCTCCACATATGCATTCTTGTACAAATTTGGGTCCAGCCAGGAGTCTCGGCGTACCTGCCCTGCGGGGTGAGAAGAAGGATGAGAGCCATCCCGGCACTGAGGCCACAGCCCGGCCCCATGGCAGCTCGCAGCCCTTACCCAAGGCATCGTAAGCAGGCAGGATGTCCACCTCGGTGGACTCTGAGTTGATCTTGGAGTTGAGGGTGAGGCTGAGGGAGCGCGGTGTATTGCCAGGACCCTTGTACCGGGGCTCGCTGATGTCCACGGTGAACGTCAGGCTCTGCCTGCAGTCATGCAGCCTCATCTTGATCAAATCCAGGATATACTTTCTATTCTTCTTCTGGTCCTGGTAGCTGGAGAAGCAGCTGAGGAAGAGCACCACGTCGGCATCTGAGGTGTTCTTCAGGGCTGTGCCCTTGCCTGATGAGCCACCCTGCAGAGAGGTGCCCTGCCCGCTCAGCACGGCTGCCCCTCAGCACAGGGACCGCCTGCCATCATTCCTGGGGCTGCCAGGGGAAACTGAGGCAGGGCAAGAGCTGGAGCGGCAGGGCAGAGGGAAGGGTGGCAGTAGGGGTGCTGGCTGGTCACCGTGCCAGGCAATGCTCACCTTGACGGTCTTGTTGACATGGATGTTGGTCTCCCTCGGGAAGCAGTCCTCCTTCAGGAAGTCGCAGATCTGCCTAATTGTCTGCTTCACCTGGATTCTGAAATCTGTGCTGGGCTGCAGGAATTCCATGATCCAGGTGTCCAGCGTCTTGGGGGTGGCTTTCAGCAGCCCATTCATGGCATCCATCCTGCCAGATGTGGTCACTCGCTCTGTCCACATCTGTCTGCCTGCAGCTATCTCTCTGCCTGCTCCTGCCTGCACCAGCTTTTAAACTTTCCCTGACAGGAGTCAGATGATGTCACCAAAGCTCTGATGCCGTCACCGCCGGGAAGTTAAGGTGGCCACGGCATCGAAGTTTTGCTTTTCCCCGTTCCCGGTTGCAGCTCCCCGATGGTCCTCGGTTCCACCACCACAGAGTCTGGAAGGGGACAGGAGGGTCTGCGTGGCACTGCCATCACCCTGGCACCTGGCTGAGGGTCAGAAGTGACAGTGGCAGCACAGGCAGCTGCCTGCAGGCTGGGTCTGGGGTTCTGCAGGACCTCATAGTCCCAGGTGTCTGCAGAGGCCGCGGGCAGCATCCCACCGTGGGGACCCCATGCCAATGTGTGCCTGGGCTGGGGGTGCCCTGCCTGCCCCAGTGCCCGCCTATGCTCACACTGGGGGCTCAAGTGTCCAGGCTGGGGTGCAGCCAGCACTGGGATGTGGCTGGTGCTGGTGGCACGATGTCACCATAGGCGATGGGATGTGGCTGGTGCCAGTGTCATCAGAGGCCCAGGTGCCACCACAGACTATGGAATGTGACCAGTGCCACTGGAGGACCTGGTATCACCCCAGGCAATGGGACACGGCCAGGTACCAGCGTCACCAGAGGTCCTGGTATCACTAAAGGCAATGAGATGCAGCTGGTGCCAGCATCCCCGGGGGTCCCGGTGTCACCCTGGCGGTGGGACATGACCGATGCCAGCATCCCCGGGGGTCCCGGTGTCACCCTGGCGGTGGGACATGACCGATGCCAGCATCCCCGGGGGTCCCGGTGTCACCCTGATGGTGGGACGTGGCCTGTGCCAGCATCTCCGGGGGTCCCGGTGTCACCCTGACGGTGGGACGTGGCCAGTGCCAGCATCCCAGGAGGTCCTGGCGTCACCCTGGCGGTGGGACGTGGCGGGTGTCAGCATCCCCGGGGGTCCCGGTGCCCCCCGGCAGCGGCAGGTGGTACGGGCAGGACGCCGCTGGCCGCGCCACCTTAAGCGCCGGCTGCGACGGAGCCGGGAAACGGGAGTTTGTGTCACTGTCCCGGTTTCGGTTTCTGGCTGCTCCGGCTGGAAACGAAAGTGCGAAGGTGGCTCCGCAGCGGCGCTGCCCCTGCGGCCCCGGTGCCCGCCAGCCCCCCCCCCGCTCCCCAAACTCCTCCTCGGAGCCGGGTCCCGGTGCGGCTGGATCCAGCCGGAGCCTCCGGTTGTAAGGAAGAGTCGGGACCCCGGGCTCTGCCGCGGGGTCGGTTTATTTCAGGTCGAGCTGGGTGTCTCCGAGGAGAAACACCACCCCCCTATACCCCCCCCGCGGTTGTTTTCCTGTGCCCTTTGAGGCCTCACACACGTATCACACGAGGTGTTGACATCTGTGTCCGCAGGGACTGTTTGTCCAATCGATTTGTTTAGTAGGTGCTTTTTCTCTATGGTGTTTGGAATAACATCTTCCACGTTTTCCCTGCTCGTGCAGTTTCATCTTCCTCCCGTCTTCTCTGCACTTGGGTCTCCTCTGTCTTCTGTTGACTTCAGAGAGAACGGTTTCTCTCTTGCTTCGAAGGTCCTTCCCTTCAATTACAGGCCTGGTCCAGTTTATCTCCGTGCAAGACTCTGACCAAGCAAAGGTTCAACTGAAGAACAGTCTTGGTTTGTGGCCCAAGGCTTCTGCACTCCGGTCACTCGTGCCACAGCAAAGCCACTCGAGTTTCAATTCAACCTAATTTTAAGCCATCACACAGTTAATTATAATATTCTGTTAGTAAACTATTTTAATCCCCAACATAAGGGTATGGGCAGGGGCAGGGATAGAGACGGGGCAGGGATACAGGCAGGGACAGGGATATGGGCAAGGAGCAGGGACACGGGCAGTTATGGGTAGGGACAGTGACAGGGGTAGAAATAGGGACAGGAGTGGGTATCTGAGCAGGGATGGGGATACAGGCAGGAGCAGGGACAAGACAGAAGCAGAGATACAGTCAGGAGCAGGGACATGTGCAGGTGTGCAGACAGGGGCAGGGACAGGTAGAGGGACAGGGATGTGGGCAAGGAGAGGGGAAGGGACAAGACCAGCATCAGGGACGGGGTACACGCAGGGACAGGGCTGTGGGCAGGGACCGGTGTCACAAACATTTCGTACCTGGCCCCTGCAGCCCGAGGACCAAGGCCAGGAGAGAGCAAGAGTCACTCTTTATTTGCATCTATGCAGTGTCCCAGCCAAATGAGGGCACCACGTGGTGTGCACACACACACACACACACACCGCCCTGCTTTGCAAAGTCACTGTGATTCTCTGGCCACAACACCCTTTCTTTGGTATGAAAGCCAGAGAGGGACTTTTTACAAGGGCACGTAGCAATGGGATGAGGGGTAATGGCTTCAAACTGGAAGAGGGGAGATTAACATTAGATGTAAGGAAGAAATTCTTCACCCTGAGGGTGGTGAGACACTGCAACAGGTTGCCCAGAGAAGCTGTGGATGCCCCATCCCTGGAGGTGTTCAAGGCCAGGCTGGATGGGGCTTTGAGTGACCTGGTCTGGTGGAAGATGTCCCTGCCCAGGGCAGGGGGTTTGAACTAGATGGTCCTTAAGGTCCCTTCCAACCCAAACATTCTACAACTCTATGATTTTTTTTATCTGTGAGGCCAGGTCACAGGAGGGTCTCTGGACTGGGGTGGGGGGGTGTTGTTGGAGGACACGCTGTGTTGGCCTTATCTCAAGGAGTCCAGGGGTGGCCTTCATTCTTCAGGGTGGGGCTGTCCTCCTTCTCCTGGCAGTGAGCTGGTGTCCTGCAGCCATGCCTGCCGAACCCTAACCATGCAGCATACAATGTAAATATCTGCATCTTAAGAAAGTTCATACAGCTTCATACCATGAAGATTAGTTGGTACAGCCTGGAGAACAGAAGGCTCCGGGAAGACCTCATTGCAGCCTACCAATATCTGAAGGGAGCCTACAGGAGAGCCGGAAAGGGACTCTTTGTCAGGGAGTGTAGTGACAGGACAAGGGGTAACGGTTTTAAATTGGAAGAGGGGAGATTTAGAGTAGATATCAGGAAGAAAATCTTTCCTGTGAGGGTGGTGAGGCTCTGCAACAAGTTGCCCAGAGAAGCTGTGGCTGCCCCATCCCTGGAGGGGTTCAAGGCCAGGCTGGATGGGGCTTTGAGCAACCTGGTCTGGGGGGAGGGGTCCCTGCCCAGGGCAGGGGGGTCGGAACTCAATGATCTCTAAGGTCCCTTCCAACCCAAACCCTTCTATGATTCTATGAATAGCCGGGGAAGGAGATCTCCCTTTTCAGATGCAGGGAGGGGCAGGGGCAGGGGCAGGGACGTGCCAAGGGCAGAAAGTGCCACAGGATGGTGATGCCGTGAAAGACGAAATCAGGACTCAATAGCCAGGATGACTATTGAGCAGGTATCCTTTATTGCAGCACTGGACGCACAGGGGATCGCTCCTCCAAATGTGCGTGCCAGACGGAGTCGGTTTGACAACATATATGCATACATACATCCATATTCATGCAAGGAGTCTTAACATATTCATTAGTTTCCAGTAATTCATTACCATAGGCTACCTCCCTCTTGGAGTTCCCCATTTGTCAGAGATAAGATAACATTGTGCTGGCCTCATGATTGCTGCCTACATGCCTGCCCTCCTGTCTTGTTACTTATCGTAGCTCTGCAGGGGTTGCAGGCCCCTCTTTGTGGTCAGTCAGGCTACATTTGCTAAGTCATACTTAGGTAAGCAAACCTTCAAGCCATACCTGGCCTTATTCTTTAATTCAATGGGGACAGAGGCAGAGGAAGGTGCAGGGAGAGGGACGGAAGCAGGGACACAGGCAGGGATGTGGGCAGAGGAAGGGATGTGGGCAGGGGCAGTGATGGGGCAGGGGTGGGGATGGGACGGGGACAGGAGAGGGATGAGGTCAGGGATGGGGACAGGAGAGGGGAAGAGACGGGGCCAAGCATGGGGTCAGGACGGGGTCAGGTCCGGGTCGGGTCGGGGTCAGGTCCGGGTCGGGTCGGGGTCAGGACGGGGTCGGGTCGGGG